ATTCTGTGTTTTCATTTAGAGTAATTACAAAATTGAAGACAATTCTCTACAGGAAAATAAATAATACCTATGCTTGAGTACTTTGTTAAAGCCATAAATCTTTTTTACATGGGAGTGCAGTTTGCTTTTTATACAGATTAACTTGTATAAAAGCCAAGACAGATCTACATAAGATTAAAAAATATTTTATTTCTTACACAAATGTATATTATCTGAAAGGATTGATCATCACACGTAGGAGCTATGTGAATAAAGGGCCTTCTGGAATGGCAGTTTCACATGTCCCCTCCCAGCAAGAGGTTCCTCTGTGCAGAAGCTGGAGTTCTCTTGAGTCCAGTGATTGATGAGTTGTTTTTGAAACCGTGGGACTAAGCGGCAAATCAGTGGGCTGCAGGCAAGCACTCAAAGGTCACCGACAACTGGGTCGCTAGCTTTTTCAAGTCACAAAAAAAATGTTCACTACCCACTGGGGTCACCCAGGGTAAAAGTATGTTTGTCTTGGACTTTGTCCTTAGAAAATGTGTGTTGTACTTTGGCAGAGCAACCGTGCTAGGAATCAGTGTGTGCAGTACACACAGGCAGACTAGAATTTTTAGGGAGACCCTTAATCATTCTTTTCTGACTTAAAAATGTACCTTGAAGATGGAGGCGTTTATAACTATTTTCTTATTACTTGGTTTCCAAAAGAAATATAAAACTTGGCTAAATATATTTACCATCAAAAGCGATCTCCATTCCAGAGTTTCAATAACATCAGGCTTAGCGTGTGCACAGAGAAGAACACGTCTCTTATAAATAAGTGGTAAATATCTGTTTACTACAGATTATGGCTCAGCACTGAGTGTTGGAAGTTAAAGGAGAAAAAAAAGTTTAAAACCTAATATTTACCTTATAAAGAATCTTTATTTCCAAACCAATTACGTATGAAAGCAAGACAGTGTATATTAAAGCACAAAGACGTATGAAACTAATGCCAGGAATTATCTGAATATTTCAGGCTGGAAAACACTCACTGGAGTCTATATTTAAGTAAACACTGCTGCTTTGTTTGAATTATTACTATACATTATCTACACTTCAGTTTGCTTATCTAAGAATGGATACATAGCACTGCACTGGTATTTTCTTTGCTCTCTATTTGGTGTTTGAGAGACCTACTTAAGCTGTCTTCCTTTATACCTCAATTTCTCCTTGTATAGACTATATAATTCTATTTGCAGGGCTCATATTTTTTAAGAAGCAAGAAAAAGGATAGATAATATTCCTGGAATGCTTGACATCATCTAGAGATTAGTGCTGCATGTGAGACAGGAGGGTTTACCTTTCATTTTGGTGCAAGAAAAAGCCAACATAAACACTGTTTCCTTAAAAGGACTCATAAGAATCTGTGTTTACTTACTGAATCATTTGCTAAATCCTTTATAAACAAGTAGACTGTCAAGAATTTAAAGCCAGCATCTACTTCAGAACTGTCTGTTGGTGTTGTTCCCTAATGTGTGTCCAAAACTCAAATTCCTTGTAAGAAAGAAATTCTGCACATTTGCTCTAAGGCACCATCCCTGCAAAGACATACTTGCCTTATGCTGTGTCTTAGCTGTGTTGTCAAGTAGTAAGACCTTAACGCAAACGATATCCGGTAAATAAGAATGCTTAAAACTGAGAGAGCTGTTCAGCAGTTATGTGGGCTGTGATGGGAAGCAGCGAGGAGTAGGGCTACTAACTAGTTATTTCTGTGCAAAATAAAGTGCCGGAGGAACAGAAAAACAACTCCACAAAATAGTCCTGCAATTTGTCCCAATATCAGTTTGTGACATTAATTCTATAACCTGAAGTTAAGGTTTCTTGAAAGGTTTCAAAGATAGACTAAGTATTTATACTCAGCAATGGACAAGAAAATGTTCTTTTCCTGCATATCTTTATCCTTCAACTTTAATAAATGACCGCTGATATGCATGGATGAAACTAAGTTGTAGCCAAAGATTACTTAAGAGATTGGAGTAAGAGTTACTTTTTTTTTTTTTTACATTTTTTGTGCATGTGCAAAATCCAACAACTATTCATTAAATACCATGTACCAGATATGTAAGACAATATAAGATTTATAATATATCTCTAGTCTTATGAATAATACAGTTTAAGGGACAGAAAACTACAGTAAATTGAACCAAATGATGTGATGACTTTGTGATTCAAAATAAAGTTAAATATATATTATACCATAAGTTAAACCTGTTAATTTCAATCTAATACACATTAGAATGAAACAAGAAGCATCAAGAAATACAGTAAGTACCATGGAAGCTTACAATGAGGCCACATAGTCCTCTCTCTTTCAAATATATCAACACTTGTAATTTTCACAATTATCTTATGAGGCAGCTATCATTGTTTCTATTTCTATTTTAGGGACTAAATATTTGAGGGATTAAATAAAACAAGTCAGAGAAATCATGAGACTTAGATAAGATCATGCAGGGGGTATCCGATAAGATTGGGATGAAAACTAATGCTGTCTGTTCCAGTGGCTGACTTCTGAATCTACTGGGCTTCAGTGTCCTTCCCCAGAGTGAGAAAGGGCTCCCGTGATTCCAGGGTGGAAATATATATCCTCTTGGGGGAACTAGGATAATTCTGTGGATGAAGTGATCGTATTTACATACATAATACTTGCTTTCTTAAAATTTTAGATGAATTATGCTTCAGAGGCCAGTCAATGAAATTTTAATACTTTGTTCTTCTTGGATATTTATTTTATCTCAAGATAGAAATGTCACTGGTTATAAAATTTCTGTTTTTATTATGACACATGGAAAATTCAGAAAAAGTAATCACCTTTTTAAAAGGAGAGGAAGAAAAACCCTCAAATAGATGAACATTTAACAAAATATTATATATTTGACCCAAATGTTCATCAAATCTCTGAAAAGGGATTTTATTTTTCTTTTCTTTTATGGGGCTTTGTTTAGAACATGAGTTGTTTTTGAAGTGATGCAGGAAAGGTATAAATTAGTATAGAGTATTCTCAGCCTATTTCACATTGAACACTAGATTTTGTGTAAAATTAGCTCCCTAGGTAGAATGTGAGGCCCTTGATGTCAGGACAGTATTTTACTCTCCCTGGATGGAGATGTCAGTGACAGGTGCACAGCAGAGTATTGGGTTTGAGACGTAGTGACAATGTTCACAGTGACACAGGGAGGTGATCCGAGGATCTTGGTTCCTACGCCTGGACGAGATACTTCTGATGATAATGGAGGCGCATGTTCAAGCACACACCTTATGATAGGTGCACACTGACACAGACCCATCCCACAGCAGGACTTAATTCATGGAATCATTCCTGGGCCAGGGGCCAAGTAATGTGTGATAAGAAAATACTAGAAAGACAAGAGCTTTTCTTGTGTAAGGAGGTCATGTCTATGTGAGTTACTATTATGTAGATGACACTTAGCTAGTCTTCTTGTCACAAAGACAGAAAGTCACAACTTGCCAGATGACTGGTAGGAAGCTATTCAACACATCTAGATGCTGTATTTCAATAAGCAGGGTGATTAAATGCTTCAGGCTTTGAACTAACAAATAAAACATTTTGGAGAAAGCATAATACTCCCTTTCCCCCCAAATTAGACACACTCTGGAAAACAAGTTCTATCATGATATACCTTCTAAAACCTGAGTAGGTCTTATTTGGGGGAAACACAGTACCACTTGAGGGAAAAGCAGAGGGTGATGTCTTAGGTGGAGGACAGTTCCTATGTAACTTGTACACCATCAGTAAAACACCCTTAAATGATTCCTCCTCATTTCTTTACTGAAAGCGAAAGGTCATTTTATTTGTTTAATGAATCTTAGGAATATAGTAGCTGGTATAATCCAAACATAATCAAACAACTACCCATTTTTTAAACTTTCCCTCATGTTACTCAGGAGCAGATTAACATGTCAGATTCTTCTAAATCAGGAGGATTGTGCAGGGTTTGTGGTCTGGCACAAATAACAAGTGGATGCCATTCGTTAAAAATAGCATCAACCCTCAATTTGGGTTACCTCCAAGGAAATTATGTTTAAATCGCACATTAGAAATTTACTCTGTAATTTAGTCATAAAATCCAAATTATGGTTTTATGATACTAGAATTGCCAGCAAAACAGTAATAGCTTAAGCTCAATTAGTCACACTGTCTTCCCTTTTTTTATTGCATAATAGGAACTCAAACACATGCTACAACTGGTGAAAAATATTTACCCTTAAAATTTAAATAAAAAGTACTTACTATGAGATCAGTGATTTTTATGTGATGTAAGAGATTTAGAAAAAGCACAAAACATGAGTTTTGACTTAACGTTGATTGCAATGAATTCATTCATGCACCCCACACAATCTAGTGAGTTCAGTACACAGTGTCAACACACACACTGAAGCAGGAGAACCACAGACCAAGTTCCACGGAAGTACAAAAGGCAAAAATCTGTTTGGGCTGAAAGTATTTGGGAAGCTTCCCCAAGATTTAATGTTTGAGTTAAGTCTTATGTATGATGTAGAGACTGTTGAAGGCCAAAAAGGGGAGGTGTGTCATTCCAAGGAGAGGAGACAGTTGTGTAAAGGGAGAATTTTTGAAACATACAATTTGGAAGGATCAGTTTAGCTTTCTGCTAATGTAATAATTAGATAATTACTTTAAAATATCGATAGCAATGATTTTAAAATGGCTTTAGAAAGAGGAAATTTTCTAAATTCACCCATTGTTGATTCATAACAATAAATCATTTCTTCTTTTTCCTTCCATTACTTTGGTCTTACTTCATCTCCAACCACAAGCAAAACTGATGAGAAACAGCTTTGTAGAGAGACTGAAAAATAAACCCTGAAAAATTGTTTTTACTTTTCTTTAAAATTTTGGTTTAGTGGCTCAGTTATCAATATCAAAGGAAATAGGGCAAGATAGCACAGTAGAGCATGGAAAATAACACTTGAGACTGCAACATGACTGAAATTCTTACTTGTTTCCAGGCTTGCGTTAACTCTTTGCAGACTCAGGTTTGCTCTGTTGAGGGTGACTGTGACGGCTGGAACAGAAAGAAGGAAACCATTAGTCATTTCTGCAAAATAACTGATCTGATGCGACCTTGTTACAGCATCATGGTCAGATGACAAAATTTGACCTGCTCGTTTGCTGTAACCCTTTTCTAAAAATTAAAATTGCATCTATCCACGAAAAAGAACTAATAAAAATCTGAGGAGATGGACACTTTTGCGCTTTGTTACCTCTGGTCTCATGCATAGACACAGTAGGGAATAATGAGAAAAAATGACTTCGTCTGGAGTTAAAGTTCAAACTTGAGTATTATCAAATGGAGAAGGAACAAAATTTTTAAAAGCAGTATAAAAAATAACAGTCTAAAAAAACACTTATCTTCAGAAGTAATAGAAATAAACCTGTGAACAGTCCAGGGAGTGAGGAAGGAATGAGGGTAAAACAAAAGTTGGAGGCTGGAGATTTAGCTCAGTGGCATAAGCACCTGCTTGGCAAGTATGAGGTTGTGAGTTCAATCCCTGGCACCAAAAAAGAAAAAAAAAGTTGGACAATAGAGACGCAGAACTTTGTGATGGAAGATGGTGTGTGAAGTTATCTATTATAAAACCAACTGTAACTTGATTAATACCAGTTTCAGGTTCTGTTAAAATCAGGCAAAAATGGAAAATGAGCAATGTACTTGCATTCCATGTGAGTGGCTTTGAAAATATCTCAGCTACAAAAGTGTGTGCTGTTGTTTGGGCTTGGTGGAGAATGTTGTTTGTCCAAACTCCCCAGGTCAGATCATGTTCCTTCTGGGTTATACTTAGAGCAGCAATTGTGGCCCAGACCCACAACAAACACTGAGCTTTTCCTCAAGGCCAGTGAAGCTACTATTTGTGATACTGTGAAATATATATTTTGTCTTCTTCTTATTTGCAGACATATAAGCTCCTAAGTCCTTGGAAACTCTGGAGTGATGTGTAGTTTTTTATGCCAGAAAGTTATTTGATGGCTGGGGGCTTCCTCTCAGAGTCTGTGTGTTGTGGGTGACACAGTATACAATTAGTGTTGATCACAAGCCCACCCTAGGCAACTTATGGACTAGCAAGGTCCCACGTCAAAATAAAAGAGGGAAAGGGAAAAGGGAGAGAGAGAGAGAGAGAGAGAGAGAGAGAGAGAGAGAGAGAGAGAGAGAGAGAGAGAGAGAGAGAGAAATAGACAGACAGACAGACACTGGGAATACCGCTCAGAGGAAAGGCCCTGGATTCAATTCCAGTACCACATAAAAAAATGAATCACAAAAGTGAAAAAAAGTATATTTTTCCTGGAGTAAATAGCATATTACATATAAGTTTTAAGGTGACCAGAAAGCAAAGGTACATTTGTAACAATGCCTTCAAGTCTGCTAGTTACCCCGATACTCTTAAGTCTTTATTATTATCATTCATAGGTTGAATAACTCCTGTTCCCATCACTAATTCATTGCTGCAACTCAAAAAGCATTTTGCTTCATAGTCTTCTGCTCTGAGTGGAACACCGGAATGTCACTTTTATCAAATTTCAATAATTTTACATAACTTATAACTGTGAAATGACTTGTTTCACCAGAAGTATGCTCTGAGAAAGTTCTGATAACTCAAGGAAAAGCAAATAAGTTCACAGAAATAATAATAAAAAGGGTGGAGGCACACTTTTGGAGATGTTGGCCAGGCATTTGGCACAGATTGAGGTGAAGGTTCCACAGATGTATATTTATTTTCAAACTAATGACTTGTATCATTAAACATACACGGCTTGCTGAATGTCATTCATAATTCAATAAAGTGGTTTAAAAATAAGTTAAACATGGTAACACAAACATGTTAACTTGCTCAAAATTATCCAGTAAATTTGATTAAATTTTGACATGACTCTAAGAAAACTAATGGACATCAGAGTCCAGACCTCAGATATACAGTAAAGTTGACAAGCTTTCAAGAATAATGACTGAAATGGAATGTGAGGGTCAGTTCTGAGACCCCCAAGGACAGTGCTGAGTCAAACATCAAGACCAGAAATTCTGGGGAAACCTTAGATTCCCTGACTCGGATTTTTTTCCTTGCAAACAGACATCTGGTGCTTTCTCCTTTCTGACACATTTGGTGATAGTTTCATGAAGCAAAAAGCCTTACTCAGCCAACACTCTTTGCAATATGTGGTGAATCAAGACATAAAAGGAACAAATGGCATCCTTGTGGAAAGACCACAGATTTATGCCAGAGCTGAGAGGATGCTGGTTGCAAAAGTAAAGTGTATTGAATGAAACTGTGCTGTCTTAGCAAATGGAAGTGTCATACTCCGTAATCAATTTTAATTACTGTCAAAGACATGTACCTAATGCCTAAAGTGCTGATCAGGAAAAGAGAAGCAAGTAAAGAGCATAAGCAGAGAATTACAACTCCAACGCTAACAAAAATTAATGAGGCCATCACAAACTTTGATCTCAGTGATGACCTGCAGAGAACCCATTCATCATTGATTTCCAGCAGATCAGTAAAGTGGTCCTCTAGGGACTTGTAAATTCTAGGGTTATAAAATAAATTTTCTGCAGCCTTTTGCACCCTAGAGTTTTAGGTAGAAATATATAAGAGAGGTGGTCACATGTCGGAGGTTCAATGGAGTGGGTTTTGAGAAATCTGGACAAGCTTTCTGGGGAAAGTGACTCTTTGAGACAGGTGTTAAATTAGGGTAAACAAGTGATGAGAAGGAAAGAAGGCAGTTGGGCCCAGGCACCTTCTAGATAAAGGCAGCAAGGGTATGTAAAGAGCCAAGATCTGTTGGTGGTGGGTAGAACACCTGAGTCAGGATGTGTTAAATTGGACAAACCAGAGATGCACTGGGGAAGTTCCTGAAAAATAATTTAATTTAAGCTGAAAAATTAGTAATCCTAATCACATGCTCAGCCATGAGAGAAGATGGAGCTTCTCTCAATGGATTTGGCCAAGAACAAGATCCAAAGTCTAGAGATAACTGCAATCTAAGCTTTCTTTTCTATGCCCAGCTTATAATTTATCTCTTCAACCAAGGCATATATCTAGACCTCTGTTTCACTGTCTGTAAATTGAAACACGTATGTATACATGTATAGTTTAAATCAGCTAGTGCATGCAAATCATTTAGTCTACAATACATGTGACTTGTAAATGTTGGATACTCTTGTTGTTATTTTATTTTAATAGTATTAGGCAGCCACTGTCTTGACCATAGGGTTATGTCTTTTCACTTGGAAAGCTTGGCAACACTTTCATGTTGGGTTTTGTGGCTTAAGGCATTGCACTTAGGAGAAAATAATGGTGTGATAATCCAGCAAGAACCTGGCTGCTTAGATACTTCCCACTCAAGCACTGGGTTCTGTTTCTGTCAGAGACTCCAGAGTAAGGACTGCAAATTCACTTATATAAAAAATTCAGCCTGAGACTAAATACAGTCACTTCCAACTCTCTAGCATATTATTAAGGGAATGAAAGTGGGAGGATCAATGATGTGGTAAGTGTTGCAATTTACCAGTGTGTGTGTGTGTGTGTGTGTGTGTGTGTGTGTGTGTGAAAGGCATTTAGAACTTGAATAGATGGTACAGATGTAAGCCAAGGAAATAGAGTACAATAAAAAGCAATCACTCTATGCAAACATAGGAGATGATGCGTGTAAAATGGCATCTGACATAAAATAAGCGTTGGTCAGTGTTAACTACTGTCATTATTATTTATGGTTATGACAATGATAATGCTCATATGATTGTCATGGAATGTTTATTTCCAGACTTCCTCTGAAAGGTTGGGTTTTCTCCCTCGGGAAGCTGGACTCCCCTCAATCAGCAGCCACAGGGACCACTCTCATACTCCCGATTGTAATTGCTTATTTACCTGTACCTTATGGTGCCCAGTGAGTCCCTTGGAGTGTTTTTATCACTTTCATTTTTATAATCTGCAATAAGCACAGAAGTGGTACCTAGTAGAATAACAAAGCTTGCTGAATAAATGAAAGGATGAAGATGAGCTACAAATGCTTTAAATTTTGACTTGTGGGGTTATATGGGAATCAAACACAATTGGTTTATTGGCAGCAAATAGTGTCTCCCCTTGAAAATTTCATTTGTTGATTGCTTTCCTGTTTTTGGAAGTCTCTTAGTCCTTGATCAGATTCCTGAAAATTTTTCTGCTCAGATATCAACCTCTACAGTTCTGTTCAGATCCACCACTGCCTTTCTAGTCCTCCTTTCTGTCAAACTAAAATCTCCATTGCCAAAGAATATTCTTTTTGGAGTCTTTATCCCTCTCCAATCTGCCCCTGGGAAGGCTCAATTTCAAAGTGATTGTTGGCCACATTGATGCTTTACCATCCCGCTGCCTTTGAAGTACCTGGTTTGGTGGAAAAGTGAAAAAATATGTATGTGATATTTCTAGTCTGTTTATAGTAAATCTAATATGTACCAGGCATCACATGAAGCATATTTTATGGATTTTTCAATTTTTACTCTCCTAACAATACTCTGAAGTGGTATTATTATTAGTAACCTTTGATAGGTATTGGATTTAAAGTTAACTTGTCTAAGGGCCAGGCCAATCTAGGTTAGTAAGGTCCCGTGAACCTGGCTGCTTACATTTCTCTTCACTCCCCTCCTTGCCAGGTGACTATTCTGACAAGATTACGGGACGCACTGGAGAAATCTTCATTATACTTTTTTTTTTTTTACCCTAGTTAGAGCACTGTATATTCTTCAGGGCTCTATTAGTAGGGACTCCTCACTATTCTTCCACAGCTGATATTCATCAAGAGGTGCTTGATAAATCAGAAGACCTATTTATTCAGATGATACAGATATTCTGGAAAGAATATTGGCGGAACCGGATTGCTCATGCTTTAGGCAGAAACACCCTTCAGGCAAGAGTCAATCTGTGAGCAACAGGTAAAACATGTGGCATGCTGACAGTGCGGGCTCCTTTCACTAAGTCATGGGCAGTATTACTCAGCCAATTTTCATGTTGCAGTTGACCTTTTGGTCAAGAGGAA